GGACCATACCCACTCTCATGGCCTTCAGGAAAGCTGTAAAAACCTGGCTGTTCCGGCAGGCCTGGGGCTGTTGACCTCATTGTTGAGGTCCAGCCCCCATTAGAATGAATGTATGTGGTGTTGTGATTTTAAACTGCCTTTTTTTTCCTCTTTTTCTCTCTCTCTCTCTTTTTTGTAAGCCGCCCGGAGTCCTTCGGGATTGGGCGGCATATAAATTTTGATAATAAATAAATAAATAAGATAACTCCTAAATAAAAGACAAGCTATCAGTCAAATCCACCCATCCATCCATCCGTCTCTGACTAACTGCTGAAGCAGAGGAAATTACCCACAAAAGCAAGACTTAGGTAGCTGAGTGAAAACAGAGCATTACTAATTTCCCTATATAGTACCTTATTTTTTATTTCTAATTAGAAAAAATAAGGCACCATTTTTTTATTTTGTAAACAGAGAGCAATAAAACATTATGTCCTATCTGTTACACTGTATCAGCCTAACCTGTCCTAGAAAACTCATCTCTACGCAAGGGTAATATTTCATGCACAACCTATGATGGATATCTTTCCTTAAGTCTTAGCTTCAGCTACCATCCCTTTATTTTTCAAGTATCCTATGTGATAGGGATTTGACTTTTATCACAAGCTACTCTATTATTGCAAAACTGAGGAAGTATGCCATTAGAAGAGAGGACACCCATACAGAGTTCCCAAGAGCATACAACCCATTTCTCACCGAGCCTCTTGAGGACACATGGTCCAGTCCAGGCTAACCACGTCGTACCCAGATTGTGCCAAATCCTCCAGTGCATAGTGGGCATTCTTAGCAAAGATGATCTAGTGGATAGAGAGAAGAGGAGAAGATAGAAAACAACTAGTATTATATGGACAGGGTTACAAACGCTTGGTAACATAGGAACTCAAATTTTGCATGAAATAAAGTTACATTATGTCATGGCTTAAAAATTATGCATAGTAATATGTTTATTTGAATATTATCCTTTTTTTCCTAGTTAGGCATTAGAGAGGATGAAAAAAGATGCTTCTATAAAAAGTAGTGGAAGTGCAAACCTATTGTCCACCACCTCTGATTAGGGAAAAACTACACTGTAAAACTAATCTTTGAAATATCAGCTTTACTCTCAGTTATGATTTGAGGGGAGAAGGGAACTGTTCTACTTTAACATCCCAATTCTTTCATTTGGAAATGTATATTTCTATACTAAAATATGTTCTTCATATTTTTATAATGTTTTGATAAGTCAGGAAAAAGTTCTGACAAAGGAGATTGAAGGAATAGAAAAAAAGAATAGTTTATTCTCTTTTATTGGCTACTATATCAGGGTAGCTATGAATTTTCTGGCAACCGCAGAGGCTACAAATTTTTTGTATTAGTTGCTGGAGTCCATAACTAACTGTACTCCTATCCTACTTGCAAGCACTCCATAGCCATCTGAATATTGGATTACGTAGGTTTTTAGTATGGTCCAGGTCTTTTTACCGGCACCTATATTTTTCTCTCTTCTACCTTTATGTTTTCTAGAAAATGTATGTAAATGGTCTTTCAATCATTGAGAAAAGCATATGATGGGTGAAATGAGCTTCTGGATTCTACAAAAATGTGATATTTGCCTTTAAAATAAATAAAACGCTGTCATTCTGGACAGAATTGCTATAAATTCTGGGTAATAATTCAGAAAAAAAGCAGAAGGAAACAGTCCCATCTCTTACCATTGGCACCGCAGGGAGAGCATTTTCTTGTAGCTTATTCTTCACACCTTTGGCAATGGACCGAATGAACGGGAGGGCAAACTCTGCAAACTGGACTGGCCCCAGATGTCCTGCGTGGGACTCAAAAATCTGCAGAGCCTGACAAAAAAAGACGAGCAGAGAACCAGAACCACTTCCTGGTTAACGGCTATTCTCCCTCTCTCCTTTCACTTATCTGTAAGGCCTTCCCCACTATACAAGGTATTCACTCTATTCTGTCCTAGCCTAGAAATATCATTCTAGGGTTCTTCAACTGGAACAAATCTAAGTTTCAATTGCCTTTGGGTGCACCAAAAATGTATTAAGGAGAAAATTACACCAGAAAACCCTCAGGTAGTATTATCCATTGTTCATGTTTTTGTTGAAGGTTTAGTTCCAGGATTAGATTGTCATATGGTAGCTGCAGTTTTTAATCCTATTCTCGAGTGAAAGAATACAGAGGACAAGGTTGCAGCTCCTATTTATTTGGTATAATACAAGAATGAGTTTTATATAGGCAGAATCTATACCAGTATATTCAAGAAGCCTATCATAGTAGCCAGTTATATGGATAGATCTAGGTTTCATCATAATAGTAACTGCAGGCAGTTGAATGAAGGGCAGGACTCGTCAGCAAACTCTTACTGTCCTGGATATATATATATACACACACACACACACACACACACACATATATATACATACATACATACATACATACATACATATATATGTGTGTGTGTGTGTATGTGTTTCTGTGTGGTATTTGTGCTGATAAATAAATAAAGGGAGACTACTATAGATCTATTTCAAGCTATTTAGCTCTCATCAGCTAGCCATACCCTTATTGGGATTCGAACCTGGGCTGTATTGCATATTAGGCAGA